GAATGAATGAATGAATGAATGAATGGATGAATGAATGGATGGATGAATAAATTAATGAATGAATGAGTAAATGAATGAATGAATGAATGAATGAATGAATGAATGAATGAATGACTTAATGAATGAATGAATGAATTACTTAATAAATGAATGAATGAATGAATGAATGAATGAATGAATGAATAGTGTAAACTACCAAACAACTTCAAGATACTCATCAAGAGGAAACAACTGGAGAAAGGTAAAGTGAAAAATAAATACATTCAAATCTTTCTTTCTTTCACTTAACTCCATTTAATTTAAATTTTTAATTTAACTCAACATAACATAATTTTATTTTTACTTTATTCAAACTTTAAAAGTTTAACTTAACTCAACAAGCTAATTTTATTTTATTTAACTTAGTTTAACTCAACATAACTTAATTTAACATTTAATTTAATTTAACAACAACTCAACTCAGCTTAACTTATTTTATCTTACCTTATTTAATTTAATTCAACTCAGTTTACTTTAACTTAACTCAACAATTTTATTTTAATTAATTTAACTTAGTTTAGCTTAACTCAAGACAACTTAATTTAGTTCCAGTGTAATGTAATTTAACTCAACTTAACCTAAATTAGTTTATCTGAACTAATTAAATTTAACTCAACTTAGTTTAAATCAACAAAAATTAATTTAACATTTAATTTAACAACTTAACTCAGCTTAAATTATTTTATCTTATTTAATTTAATTCAACTCAGTTTACTTTAACTTAACTCAACAATTTTATTTTTCTTAATTTAACTTAGTTTAACTTAACTTAATGTTTAACGTAGCTCAAGACAACTTTGTTTAATTCACTTTTAATTTTAATTTAACTTAACCTAAATTAGTTTATTTTAACTTATTAAATTTAACTCAACTTAGTTTAACTTAACTCAAGATAACTTAATTTAATTAACTTTTAATTAAATTTAATTGAACTCAGCTCACTTTAGCTAAATTAAATAAAAAATAAATTAAATTTAAATTAATTATTTATTCATTTTATTATCAGCTTATTCCCTTTATTAATCTGGGGTCGCCACAGCGGAATGAACTGCCAACTTATCCAGCATATGTTTTACACATAGGATGGCCTTCCAGCTACAACCCATCACTGGGAAACACCCATACACTTTGATTCACACACATACACTATGGGCAATTTAGCTAACCCAATTCATCTATAGCGCATGTGCGATTGTGCTACCCACTGCTCCACCAAGCACTTCAAATAAAATAAAAAAAAAGAATAAAAAATAAAAATAATAAGATAAGATAAGATACATATATATATATAATAAAAATGAATAAATAAAAAAAAATAAAATAAATGAAATAAATATTTTTGCAGTAATGACATGTTCCAGTGGTTGTAATTGTAGTTTAACACTCATAACGCTGCACAACATGTTGTGTTTTATTAATTTTTTTTAGTGATGCAAGCAAATGCTCTTCAGCACAACACAACATTCATTCATTCATTCATTCATTCATTTCTTGTCGGCTTGGTCCCTTTATTAATCCAGGGTCGCCACAGCGGAATGAACCGCCAACTTATCCAGTACGTTTTACACGCCAGATGCCCTTCCAGCTGCAACCCATTACTGGGAAACCACAACACAACAAACACAAGTGATTTCAACAAATGCCTCTGCGACTGAATTTCACAGTGAATAAGTTTGTTTTGGTGTGTGTGTGTGTGAGTGAATATGTGTGTGTGTGAAAAGGAGTCGATTAAGAATGCCCGCAGGAGTAAAAGTGCTGAAAGAACACACTCTCTCTGCAAAATAATCATTAAAGTTGGTATCATTTTCCACATGACTGCTGCTCTCTGACGCTGCGGAGAATGACTAGAGGCGGAGCGGCACCATATGGAGTGTGGGTTTGTGTATGTGTGTGGTGTGTGTGTTTGCATTGGTCTGGGTGTGTCTCTGTGTGTGTTTGTGTATCTCTGTGAGTGTGTGTTTGTGCATGTGTATGTTTGATTGTGGTTGTGTGGGATTGTGTGAGCCTGTGTGTGTGTGCATCTGTGTAAGATTGTAAATGTGTGTGTGTGTTGGTGCAAGTCTGTGTATTTGTGCATCTCAGTGAGAGTGTGTGTGTTTGTGCGTGTGTCTGTGTGCATTTGTTTAATGTGTGAGCTTGTGTATGTGTATTTGTGTGTGTGTCTGTGTTTGTGCATCTCTGTGAAATTTGTATGTGTGATGGTGCGAGTGTCTACGTGCATTTGTGAGTGTGTGTTTGTGCATATCTGTATGGGTGTGATTGTGTGTGGGTGTCATTATGTAAGTCTGTGTGTGTTTGCATGAGAGTGTGTGTGTGTAGTTGTGAGTATGTGCTTGTGTCCTTGTATCTGTGTGTGTATTTGTGCATCTCTGTGAGGATTGTTAATTTGTGTGTGTGATAGTGCGAGTCTGTGTGTTTGTTTCTGCGTCTATATTTTGAATGTAGTGTGTGTGTGTGTGTG